CCTGCCAGCACCATCTAGCTGTCCATTTTACTCATCCATCGGGCTTATTGTCCGGTCCGTGCACCTGGAATGTCAGCTCCACGAGGCAGCGTTGCTTGTGTTCTTCATTGCTGGGTCTCTAGCTCCAGGGATACAACACATTTTTTTGTTGGTGACCGGTTGTTGAAACCAAAATAGAAACAGTAGTAGTTTCTAATTTACTGTGATTTCACAGGCGTGGCAGGGTGATTTTGGCTACAAGCAGCCAGAAATTGGGTCAAGCAGTAGAGTCATCGTGGTCTGCTGTACCCGAGTCCAGCGTTGGGACAGGCCCCAGGCATGTGGCAGCCTGCAGCCCAGTGAGGGACACAGGTTCCTTTCCAGCCTCTGTCCTGCCGGCACAGGACTGCCTTCCCCCAAGGCTGACCCCCACAGACTGAGCTTGGTCTGTGGGCATTTCAGGATGCATGAGCAGGGAGGTCTTGGTCCCGGGCCCACCCTGGAGAGGGCATGGGGTTTGCAGCTGGTAGGGCCTGTTGCTCAGGGTGTGGTCAACAAGCTCCAAGTTAGGATAAAGGAGGAAGAGCATGACGCTGTGCCTGGGCCCCTCTTTCTTGTCACACTCGGTCCTTGGCCTCCTCTGCTGGGTCCTGCCATCACCCAGGCTACCACCTCAGACCCCAGAGCCTGAGATTTCAGAAAGGTGTGGGTGTCTGGCCTAATGCTGGATGCAGCCTGTTCGTTGGAAGTGTCTCGTCTCTGCATTTCATCTGGACCCCAGATCTCTCCGGGAGAGCACTCTCCTTATGCTTCTCTGATTCACCCTGGCCTTGGCAGGGGCGGGGCTGGGGGACGGGTCTCTGCAGGTTTTCTGGAGGATCGAAGGAGACGCTGTACCCGAAGCATTTATTTAGCCCAGTTTCCCGCAGGGAGCGAGTGCTCTCTGGATGGCAGCTGCTACCGCTGGGGTTTTTTCCTTATTTTTCTTTTTCAATTGGTATAAGCCACATACCATAAAATCCACCTTTTTAAAGTGTAGATACAGTTCAGTAGGTTTGAATATATTCACAGAGTTGTACAGCCGTCACAATTATCTAATCCCAGAACATTTTCATCACCGCAAAAAGGAATGTTCCCATTTGCAGTCACTCCCCATTCCACCTGCCCCCCAGGCCCTGGCAACCACCAGTCTCCTTCCTGTCTCTATGGATTGGCCTATTCTGGACACTTGGGATAAATGAAGTCATATATTTTGTGGCTTTTCTAACTGGCTTCCTTCACTTAGCAGAATGTTTTCAAGGTTTATCTATGTTGTAGCATGAATCAGTGCTTTTTATGGCTGGATATATTCCATTGCATGGTTATATCACATTTTGTTTACCCACTCATCGGTTGATTGACATTTGGGTTGTTGCCACTCTTTGGCTGTGATGAATAACGCTGTTATGAACATTCCTGGACAGGTTTTTTGTGGACATGCGTTTCTGTCCTCTTGGTTGTATAGCTAGGAGTGGACAGCTGGGTCGCACTGGAACTATGTTTAACTGTTTGAAGAACTGCCACACTGTTTCTCAAAGCAGCTGGACCATTTTACATTCTCACCAGCAATGTCAGGACACTTGTTATTGTCTGTCTTTTTGGTTGTAGCCAGCCTAATAGGTGTGGTTTTGATCTTCATT